CATTTTCTTCATATCTGCCCGTCGGATCGATCGGCGTTTGCATTCAGGCCATTTATTCTCCCACACGATTCCTAAGAGATATTGCTCGCGATAAGTGCTAAACGATTAATAATTATATCGTCCTCGATCATTTCTTGAGAGCTTGTCTCTCACGCTGATCTAAGTATATTAAATTTCGAATATTTCCTGTAATTTTTCAGCGCTTGATTTACTCCGCCGATCTCTTTTCTTCCAAATTCCTCCCTTCGTTTTCGGTCGGAGAGAGCGTTTCAGTTACTCGTTAATTTCTTTGTGACAGATATGGAATGGGCGCGGAATTAATCTTGATGGCTTCAAAAGTAAAGCTAATATTTGATCGTAACTGTGTCTTATTGATTAAAAATAGACGACAACGATAAAAGCATCGAAACCGTTTTAAGTGATATGAATTTCTGAAAGGTATGTAGACAAATAGGGTCATCAAAAATAATAAAAAGATAATTTTAGGAAAAGGAGATTAGAGAAGGAGGGGCAGGAGATCTCCGACGTACGGAATTTGATACGTGGAAGTATAGAGAGTAACGAATATTTAAATCAGTAAGCGAGTAATGCCATGTAAGAACATGGGTGCGTGGCATGGGAGTCGACGGCCATAGGCAAAACGATAAAAGCGAACGACTCCATGCGTGAGTTGAAGGAAGTGAGCCTCTTATCAGGACTGCGTGGTGTCCTCGTCGTTCTCGATCCATAGCATTCGCGACGGCACTTGATATCCTTCCGCGGGTGCGATATGCAAACGTAACCCACATTCGGCAGTACGTAAATATTTATCGTCCCGGATCCTACATAGCTCGCAAACTTAATGAACTGCCGTGCTAATCTAGTCTCGGTATAATGAGAACCCCCAGTCCCGTTCCCCAGTTCATTGTTCTGTCGCGAAAGTTGTTGGTTCGACGAATTAACGTCGTAACTTGGATGGGAAAACGGCGTGATTAAACGGTGTAACGAGAAACGGACGTATATATCGTCGTAACTGAGCTTACGTTAACTTTGTAAACGATTTTATCAAAATCGAATAAATTTAAATTGATTTTAAATCGATTTTTTTATTCATTCGATTTTTTTTTTTTTTAAATAACATATTGGACTTTGTTTGCGACAGAGTTAGTATTAAAAATTGAGATTTTGCTTTCATATCTTTGCTGCCAGTTAAAAAGAAACCGGTAGCTTCGAGAAACCGGTATTGAATAGGCCGCCTGATAATTCCGCGATACTACGTGCGATAAATAGTGGCATAAAATGATGACAAGTACCTTTGGTGGAATAACATTTAATTCGGTAGCGACATTTTACGACGATACAGCTACGGGGGCGAGCGAATAGCATCGATGACAGTCCGCGGCGATCTTAATCGTTTGCTTTACGAGCTCGTAAAATATGGCATTAAGTTCTATTACCGGCGCTAAACAGCGCCGAGAAGTCACCGTTAGCTCGCCGGTCAT